GAAGAAATGCTCAACCCTCACTAATCATCAGGGAGATGCAAATCAAAACCCACACTGAGATACCGCCTAACGCCAGTCAGAATGGCAATTATCAACAACTCAAAAAATAACAGCTGCTGGAGAGGGTGTGGTGAAAAGGGGACACTTCTACACTATTGGTGGGAGTGTAATCTAGTGCAACCTCTGTGGAAAGCAGTGTGGCGATTCCTAAAAGCTCTAAAAATCGACCTTCCATATGACCCCGCAATCCCCCTACTGGGAATATACCCTGAAGAACTCAAATCACTCTATAAAAAAGATACCTGCACACGTATGTTTATCGCAGCATTGTTCACAATAGCAAGAACCTGGAAACAACCATGCTGCCCATCAAAAGAGGACTGGATTAAAAAAATGTGGTACATATACATGATGGAATACTACGCAGCCATAAAAAAGAACAAAATAATGAATTTTCCAGCAACTTGGATGGAACTAGAGTCTATAATACTGAGTGACCTCTCACAGAAACAAAGATCTGAGTATCACATGTTCTCACTCATATAATGGACCTTGAACATCCAATGCAGTACTATAAGAAAATGACTGACGGTACTGGGAAACTATGGTGGGGGGAAGAGGATGGGATTAACAGTAGCAAATATCTACTTGGGGATGGGAAAACACCTCTTATCAACAGGGTGCCTGAATGAAACGTAATTGTATACCTTACCCTTAACTGTACCCCAGAAAACCATAATAAAAAAAATTGATTAAATTTAAAAAAAAAAGAAAAGACAACAGGAACTCTGTTATTCTTCTTTGCATTGCCAGTAACTAAGACAGGATCTTGAGCACAGCAGAGTATAACTACTGCTGTTTATGATAATAAGGTTTATTATGTATGTTGTATTAGTGTGGCCAATAATCTCAGGAATAATTATTCTTTATCACTTTACTTTCAATATGTGTTATAGAGGCACAGCTTTGTAGGCTAGGTTTGCAGATTAGCAGGAAGTGGTCCCTCATTCCCTGCTACACCATTATAGACTCTGAGCCAACAAAGAGAACTTAATGGGAATTAGGTAGTCTTAAAGAGTAGGACAGGGTGCAACATGTTGGTGTGCAGTTTCCCCCTCCATGAAGTGTGTTGGTGGCACTGAACTCTGCACAAATTAGTTGCAATGAAGTTACTAGTCATTTATCTCAGCTTCACATCAACATTCTGGAAAAATTATGCCCACAATCTGCTTTCATTACAATGAATATTTATAACCACTGGGATCTTCTAGCTTTAGAAACAAACTTAGCATCAATAAAGCTATCCTCAACCAGGGGCAAAGCAAAGTCAGTGCCCAAGTGTTCTTGCAAAATCTTCAAGAAAACCCACCTTCCTTCGAAAGGTCAGCTAAAAAATATTTGCTTTTAGAATTAAGCACATAGGTGAGAAATATATGACTACTTTACATGTGACCATTTTCACTGTGAGAAAGGAGGCTAGAATATAGTTTAAGTTCCATTAACATCATGACAGATGGCTCTTATCCACTGTTTAGGACAGCAATTAAAGAATCATGTTTTTGTTAATATTGCTCTTGAACCACTGACAGCCTAATGTCATCAGTTTTCCCCCTATTTTGGAAATCACAGATTTAAACACAATCCAATTACAAGTAGAATTTTCATTACACAATAGTCCAAATAAATTATATATTTATTTATACAATAGTTATACTCAAAGTGCCTTCAGGATGCTTATGAAAGTTGCATCAAAGTTGTATCCTTAAAAAGCAGCTGCTGTGAACTACCACATTACTCTACTACCAAGGATATCTTTTGATATTAAATGCTTTTTCTTTCTAAAAAGACTTTACATTCCTTTTTTCATAACAGCATTTTTGGGATTTATGATTCACACACCATAAAATTCAACCTTGGAAATATGCAACTCATTTGGTTTTTATTATATTTAGAGAGGTGTGCAACCATTGCCTCTCTCTAATTTTAGAACACTTTTATCATTCAATAGAAAACCCTATACTCATTAGCAGCCAAATCCCCATCTGCCCCCCATCCCATGCTCCTGCTTATATCGCTATGGATTCACCTATTTTGGCATTTCATATAAATGAATTTATACAACATGTGGCCTTTTGTGTGTCTTGCTTCTTCCAGTTTGCATGTTTTCAAGGCTCATTCATGCTATGGCATGTATCAGTACTTCATTCCTTTTTATGGCCAAATAATATTCTACTGCACAGATATACCATGTTTTGCTTAGCTGATAAACATTTGGGTGTTTCTACTTTTTTTGCTACCAAGAATAATGCTTCTATGGACATTGTGTACAACTGTTGGGTTTTTTTTTTGAGTTGGAGTCTCACTCTGTCGCCCAGACCAGAGTGCAGTGGCCGCTCCCGGCCACCACAGCCTTGACCTACTGGGCTCCGGCGATCCTTCCGCTTCAGCTTTCCAAGTAGTTGGAATTACAGGCGCACGCTACCACGCCTTGCTAATTTTTTTTATTTATTGTAGAGATGAGGTCTCACCAAGTTGCCCAGGCGGGTCTCGAACCCGTGGGCTCAGGCAATCCACTTACCTCAGCCTCCCAAAGGCGCGGGATTACAGGCTGAGCCACCGAGCCTGGCTGTGTACAATTGTTAATTGGAAATGTTTTCCATTTCTTTGGGTATATACCTAGGAATAAATTCAGTAACACCTTAAAGATTAAATTAATGCAGAGATGAGAATGAGTTCAAAGATTTTGTTCATGGGCTTGTCATGTCCCCAAAACTAAAGGGACATTAGAAGGAGAAAATGAGTTTCCAAATAACAATAAGAGATAAAATCAGAATAATAATAGTCCAGAGAAATATTTGTCATTTTCTTGCTTTAACTTAAGTAAAATTTAATATTTTACAATATTAAATTTACTTAGAGAGATATTGTTAAACTACCAAAAAAAAAATCACGAAACTGTCTTGCTTTTTTTTGTTTATTTTGCACTATCACTGCTCACTGCAGCCTTGACTTCCTGGGCTTGAGTAATCCTCTTACCTCAGTCCCATGAGGCAAGAATTGTTGGGACTGCAGGCATGTGCCCCCATACCTGGCTAATTTTTTTTTTTTTTTTGTGGAGATGAGGACTTGCTATGTTGCCCAGGCTGGTCTCAAACTCCTGGTCTCTAGCAAACCTCCTGTCTCGGCCTCCCAAAGTGCGGGGATTACAGACATGAGCCACCATGTCCCACGAGTCTTGCTCTTTTAAGATATAAATTATTTGATTCCCTTAGAGTAGAAAATATTAGTGTTTAACCAGGATTCTTTTGGTTTAGTGATTTATGATTTCAATAATATACTTCCTACTCTGGGTATACATATCCAACTGTTATTAAAGATTCTAAACTGTATTTTTAAAATATATTTTATTTTAAAGATGTGGGTACAATTCAGGATTAGGTATGCAAGTAGACATCGTACAGGTAAAGTATGGGTCTCCCTTTGGTCCCCACTTTGGTTTGAGATCAGGTACCCTTACTGATGTTGTGTCCCTCCCCCACACCCCAGCAGTGTCCAGCTCCAGCCAATCCCTTTCTTAAAGTATTATGGTAATTCTACATTATGTTTAAAAAATTCTAGGCCAGGCTCAGTGGCTCATCCTGTAATCCCAGCACTTTGGGAGGCCAAGGCGAGTGGACTGCCTGAGTCTCTGGGTTCGAGACCAGCCTGGGCAATTTTGCAAGACCTCGTCTCTACAATAAGTCAAAAATTAGCCCAGTGTGATAGCACGTGCCTGTAGTTCCAGCTACTTGGAAGGCTGAGGTGGAAGGATCACTGGAGCCCAGCAGGTTGACGCTGAGGTGGCCATGAGTGTGCCACTGCACTCCAGCCTAGGCGATGGAGTGAGATTCTCAAACAAAAAAAAAATTGTAAGTCACCTAAAATGAGCATTATAAGGCATAAAGTAGTTTAAGAAATGAAATACAAAGATATGTTTCATAAAACTGGAAAATAAGTGGTTTCCTCTTGAAATAAGAGGTCAAAATCTTGAACTTTCAACTGGTAAACAATGTACTACTTTCATCTGAGGTCAAAAAAATCTATTGCCATTTGGGAAAGTTATGTAATTTCTATATTCTTAAAGACAGCACATTGAGAGTTAAAATAATCAGGTAGGACTTTAATTTGACCAAAAAGGTCAAACTCTTTGAGTTGTTCTACCTTTAAACTCAGACACAGTAAACTGATGTGGGACATGGTGAACATTTCCCTGCATGGTGAACATGTCTCTTCTATAGCCCAGTTGAGTCTATTTTCAGTATCCATTTGGTATTAATCTCCCCAAGGCTCAAAGGATAAAAGTGGCAAATTAAATTGAAAAGCTCACATCCAGGGTACTTGAAAAAGAAAATAGCCATTATGTGATGGCTGCCTTTTTTTAAAGCCTGGCTCTGCTTGAAGAATTACTTCAATAGCAATGAGAGACATGTTTTCCCACCTATCATGTAATTTGCCTGATTATGCTAACAGAGTACTCTATAAAAACAGAATATTTGGAAAAAAGAAAAAAATACCAAAGTTTTGTGCAACCTATGGCTCTTAGTTTTTATTACCAATACAAAAAGTACAGAAAAATATCAATTATTACTCATTAACTTCTTCATCTTTTAGATGCTTTAAATAGGAAAGAAAAGGCAAGCAACAAAATAAATTCCATCTACTACACTGAAGGCTGACACTTCTATGTCTTGTCTGCAAAAAGGCAATAGTAAAAGTCATAACTATCAAAAGGAAGAAAGTGATCACTCAAGTACCTCCTTAGTTCTTGAATTTTTTCCCACAAAAAAGGAAATGTGAGCCATATATTATTGCAGAAAGTGGTTACTTTTTTCTGTTTATAAACTTTTTTGCTTCTTTCAAAAGCTCTTCTACATCTTCCTTCTCTTCGTCTTCCTTTCCTGGCTCCCAGTCAGAATCTTCATCTGTTGGCTCATACTCGTCTTCCTCATCATCTAGGAAGCTGTCATCCAGGTCATATTCATTGGGTTGCCCAACATTATCATTATCTTCATCTAAAACACTTCTCACTGAAAAACAGAAGATTGGTACACAGCACATCAATCCCCACTCAACCTGGGATTAGAGACATCAAACTATAGAATGTTGTTATGCATCAAGAGGAATTATTTTATTAATGCACAGCTTACCACTACAAATTTACCATTTGTAATTTTTTCTTTTAACTTTTCCTACTAGGTGGCTCCTGAAACTCAAATGACCCACGAGATTCATAATAATGGTTTCTTGAGAATATCATAATCATTTTCATGATACCCTACCTCCCCATGTAATAGAATATATTTCTGTCCCAGTTATTCACTGCCCTGCCCTGTGATGTGATTATACTTCCCTGATTCCCACTGATTTGGCCCCCCAAAAATGTGAGTGGAAATAGTGTCTGCCTCTTCCAGAAAGAAGCTTTAAGAGTCTTTCTGTATTTCAAGCTACTGCCATTTCCCCTCTGCCAAAGAACAACATGTCCCAGATAGAAGCTGATCCTTCAATCTGAATTCTAGGATGAGAACACACATGGCAGAGAGCCACAGGTAATTCACAGCTGCAACAGGAAGGAAAAGTACACTTATTTACTATTGCAAGGCACTGAAATTTAGGATAGTTTGTTATCATAATAAACCTAGTAAAAGCTGACTGACACTCATACCAGGAGTGTGAACAAATGAGAAGACACAAGTTTAGATATTTTGGAAAGTTAAGTTTTACAGGTCTAAGATATTCTTACTACTCATGTTTCAATAAGACTAGGTCTGTCATGGAAACAGCCATTATGATTTACAGGTTTCTAAGTAATGTTGCAATACTAAAATTTTTCTGTCTAAATTCACTTATGCCCTCATTCCATTCTTTCCACAGTGAGCAACAGAATTGACTTAAAATAAGGCAATGAGAGACTCTAGGACAATATGGAACATTTAAGAAACAACTAGAAAAAATATATCTGGAAATCGTCTGAATGGCAGTGGACAATCCAGGTCAAAAGTATTAATGCTATACTTTTGTATATGCTTTGGTTAACATCTTCCTAAAATGTCCACATGTAATATATAGCTATAACTAAAATGAATGTCAAGGAATTCGATGGGGGAAATACATGAAAAAAAATGACAGAGGAAGTAATATATTTTTTAACTCTGATAGCCCAATACATTTACATTTTTCTTAATATCACTACTCATTTCAGAGAGGATTCAAGATAGCTTAAGATAATAATAATATAATTCTAATAAAGGTAGAAACTAAGAACATAAAAAATAGAATATACATATTTCAACCTCATTTTTAACATAATTATTATAGATTGAGCATCAAATCTATCCCCAAGTTTCTTGGTAGCCAAGGCTAAAAAGGCTACACAATAACTTGCACAATTCTTATTAGCATAGAGTAGGAAGAATACTGGTTTTTAAAGCATATCTTGCATTATATTTTTCTTAATATGTACCTCCTGTAAACATCTTGAAGGCATGTTTTATGTATAGCTAATCTCAATTCCTCAAATTTTTAAATGATAAAATGCATTTAAGGAAATTTTGGAGTGCAGATTGCAATTTGGATAAGGGAGTGAGAAGGAAAGAACATCAATATCTCTATTTGTCTATTTTCCTCTTCGAAGAACCTCATATACATAACCTTTTCTTATAAGACGTGGATGAGCGTACATTACCACATAGCCTATTCTAATATCTCAATAATCAGTTTCTTATCATATACAGAAATCTTCTTAGTAGATTTATAAGAAAAATAGATATAAAGCTGAAACCACTTCACTTTCTCCTCTCATTCCATTGGCTGCTCCTTCTCCGTCTTCTTTGTTGGATCTTCCTAGTTTCTAAATTTTGGAGTGCCCTATGTTTTAGGCTGGGACCTTTTCTCTTACTCCTTAGATGAGTCCATCCAGTCTTACATCCTAAGATTCCAAATTTACATCTTAAGCCCTGACCCATTGTCCTAAATTACAGACTTATTTATCTGACTGCTTAGGTATTATCTCTACTTGGATGATTTACAGGTATCTGGAAGAATCATTTCCAGAATACAACTCTTGAGTTACTTCACCCAAATCTGGTCATTTTCTTTATCAATCTTGTCAAATATGTGACTTCTCCAATCATCCAACATAGTTGTTTTAGCAAGAAACCTCGGAGTCATCCTTAAATACACCTCCTTGAAAATCCAACATGCCATACATCAAGAGATCCTACTGGCTCTACTTGCAAAGTATATCCACCACTTCTCACCACATCCACTCTAACACCCTGATCCAAATACTCTCCTCTTCTTGGATACAATATTCTCCTAATTGATTTCCTTGCTTCTTTCTACTCTAGTCGATTCTTCACAAAGAAGCCAGAAAACCTCCCAATAGCTTTCTATTTCACTCTGACTATCTGGCCCACTGCAGTCTGGTCCGTTCTGGTCCAGTCCAGTCTAGTCTTTTCCTTTTTTGAGCCAGAGTGTTGACCAGGCTGGAGTGCATGGCATGAGCAAGGCTCACCGCAGCCTTGACTTTCTGGGCTCAATAGATCCTTTTGCTTCAGCCTTCTGAGTAGCTAGGACTAAAGGCACACACCTTCATGCCCAGGTAATTTTTTAATTTTTTGTAGAGACAAGGTCTCACTATGCTGCTCAGGCTGGTCTTGAACTTCTGGGCTCAAGCAATCCTCCCACCTTGGCCTCTCAAAGTGCTGGGATTACAGGCATGAGCCACCATACCCAACCAACTGCTACTTTTTAAAATTTCATTTCATGCTCTTCTCTGCTTATTCTCTTTGTTCCAATTCGATCTGCTCTTTGCTGCTCCCAGAAGAGTCCAAACTGGATCATTGCCAAGGATTTTGAACTTACTATCCCCATTGCCTGGCACACTCCTCCTCAGATAATCACCTGGTATGGTTCCTCCTTCAGGCCTCAGCTCTAATGCCAAATTAACAGAGTGCTTCTTTTATCACCCTATCTGAAATGGTACTCCTAAGCTCATATATACCCTTACTATTCTGTCAGCTTACACAGTTTTATTTTTCTTACCAGTGTTACCACTACGTGACATCATATAATTGTTTATATGTGCACTGTATGCCTCTATAAAATTCTACAAGAGCAGGGCTTTGTTTCCACTGTATCCTCAGCTCCTTCAACAGAGCTTAACATGTAGAAGGCACTTAATAAATATATTTGCCAAAGGTATCAATAAACAAATAAATGAACCATTTGCAAATCAACTATCGAACATCTTTAGTTTTACAGAAACTCTTCTTGTGTTAGCCTACACATCTATCACTAGCCTGTCTGCAAATATAATGAATTACATAAAACTTTTATTTAATTCTGCTAAATGATGATAGTTTAAACCTCAATGAACTCTGGATGTCTGTAGCAATCTATCTAGATGGCTCATTTGTTGAGGCAGTAAGGCCATATTAATCAGAAGAAGCTCATTTGTTTCCTCAAAAAATGGTTTACATATATCATCACTTACATTTGATGATTACCTTTACAAAATCATGTTCTTTTAAAAGAAAATTCAGAACCTAACAAAGTCTTCAGTAACAGAACTCGATGTAGCTGGTAGTCAAATTTCATCCACTTTGTTTCACATGAACAGTGAAAGCCCTGAGGAGCCAAAGTCATGACATGCGTACACAGTCAACTGTAAAATTCAGCTTTGTATGCTTTGTTAGTGGTGTCATATAGACCAGAGTTTTAAGTGCTGACATGTGATTGTGTTTGTGGAACCAATTAATTAGTAGATTCTCTTGTAGCAATTCAGTTAATGACTTTAAATATTATACAACACAAATGCTACCTAGATGAAAGTTTTCTTTTTTAAAAAAATTAGTTAGTAGACTCTCAAGGAGTTTTTACAGAAATGTCAGTTTCTGCCTTTCAGTGTAATGGGGGCAAAGTAATGAAACTTTATTTATGAGGAAAATGCTCTGAATCAGTGAACTTATTGATTAAATCATTATATGATTTCCTGAATCATGGGAACAATCTCAGGAAGCGGGGTTCTAAAATAAATATGACTAACACCTAACCTAGAAATGTCTGTCTTTAGCATAAAAAGTCATGTGTCTTATGCAAAAAAGACATGGAGAACACTAAAAGCAAGAGGGGAAAAAAACCTATGCATGTATTTTCTGACTAAGCAAGCAAAAGTAATTTAAAGTAATGAAACTACTAAAGCTCCCATAAAATTTCAAAGATAGGATTTTCAGTTTAATAATGTTGCAAATTACAACACCTCTATGATTACCAACAACCCAGACACTTTTAAAAATATAAATGTAGGTTTGCCTGACTCACAATTGTATATAATAATAAAACACTTGATTAAAAAATTAATAATCTCATGCTGTGCTTTTTTCAACTGCAGACATATCTGGTCATGGCAAAGGAGGTAAGGGTCTTGGCAAAGGCAGCACCAAGCACCACCCCAAGGTCCAATGGGACAACATCTGGGCATCACCAAGCATGCCATTCAGCACCTGGCCCACTGGCAGAGTCAAGCGTATCTCTGGCCTCATCTGTGAGGAAACCCATGGGGTGCTCAAGTGTTCCTGGAGAATGTGATCCAGGATGCCATCACTTATATGGAGCACGCCAAGCACAAGACTGTCACAGCCATGGACATAGTCTACACGCCCAAGCACCAGAGACACACTCTTTATGGCTTTGGAGGCTAAACCTCGACTTAGTCATCCCATTCCTCAAAGGTCCTTCTAAGGGCCATTGCAGGGGACTTAAATACCCCATTAACAGCCCTAGATAGATCATTGAGGTCAAAAATCAACAAAGAGATCCAGAACCTAAACTTGACACTCAATCAAATGGATATAATATACACCTACAGAATATTCCATCCAACAACCACAGAATATACGTTCTACTCATAACCACATGGAACACACTCCAAGATTGATCATATCCTCGGCCATAAATCAAGCATAAACAAATTCTGTAAGGTTGAAATATTGCCATGCACCTTCTCAGACCACAGTGGAATAAAAAT